CAGTTGGAAAAAAATATCAGAACCTTTGGTACAAGAAATGAATTAGCAAGTTTAGTGCACATCATTCAGATTAATGTATGTCTATACAGACTAATTTAGTTGATATAAAACAATAAATGCATTCTAATAATAAAATTAAATGATACACAGATAAACTCATTACTTGCTGTATACTAACGAATGATAGACAGGTTATGTTTCATTTTATAACTGTATAGTCAAGAGTTGCATAGCCAGGTCATCAGGACATTAATTTCGGTAACAATAAAAGTATATTAGGGGCACAGTACTAGACGTATGTCACAATTTCTAATCAGTTCATTTGGTTTATCAGTAATATATTACGCTACTGATATAAATTAACCTTCATTTACAAATGACTATGTTAGTCTTTTGTATTTACCACATGATTTTATTTCAAATATACCAAATGTACCAATAATAATTAAAATTTTGTTTACATGGTAATATTTTAATCACTCAGTCTACACAAAAATTGTTCTAACGAATTATTATTCAAATTAGTTTATACAATTGATTTTCCTATAGATTACAAATGATAATATAACGACATATTTATATATAATAGAAACAACCAATCGGTGACACAAAAGGTATGTTTGACGAATGATGACATAGCATAATATATGTAAAGTTTTATCAAAAGTTGGAAGAGCGTTTTCCCAAAGGTTTAGAGTCGAATGTATAAAAGGTATTAGATGTCAAATAATATTTGTAAAAATATTAGTGATTGAAAGTGGGTGGTTTTAATGTCCGACTCGGTAGCTTGGTTTGAGCTTTGGTTCAATGACAGATCCCTAAATATTATATACGAATGTTTAGGATTGCATACTGATCGAAATTGGTATTATTCGTTAGATGGAAAACAAAACCGACTATAAAACTTGCGTTTCCACCAGAACTTACAGTAAGCGGATAATACTTTTGTTACAAATAAACAAAAGGGACTGGGCAAATTTTTTTCAAAATACAAAATTCAATCCAGAAAGTAACACATAGCAAAAATATCTAAATTATAAGTCAGTAAAGACTTTATAGGCAAATATAATAGTTGCTAGAAATCCGATTAACAGGACTGCCTATTTTAACGTGGAGAAAAGTAGCAAACGGGTTGATCCACATTCGCATACACAGAGCAAACAACTACTTCAAAGATATGATATAAAAGTATACTTTGGAACTAACATTATCGTTAATTCTACATAAGTGAGAGTATAGCAACTCTCCTACGGTCAGTTTTGTTTGTGGGTAATTTTGTTGAGCCCTTTAACTTATTTGACAGACAACGTTATTCCAACAGTAACAATTCGTTCATCTCCTTGTTTTATTATGATCATGTCTGTATAAATGTGTACGCTTGATCACACAGCAGACTCGAGCTAAAATGTTGATAGCTTAAATACCTCTCGATGATTCATTCTCTTCCCCATGTATATATGTACTCGAATCCTATAATTAGCCTTTGCCTTGCCTAGCTGTGTCTTATTCAATTTGACCATAAATTTGCCTCTGTATTCTCTCTCAAACACATACTAACTTCTATGCTTCAAATTCGCTCGATGTGCTCGTAACTTTGTTATTTGTGATATCGGCTAATAAACTGTGCTCGCTGCTTCTTATTGCCTTCTGATGTCAAACACCGTTGGGAACTTAAATGCTAACGGTTATCAAAGTGCTTGATTAACGAAGCTAAATTACTACGAGAGTTAAGAATATGGTATCATGGGAAGAGAAAGACATTATGCATATGAAATAAAGTATACCGTAATGTTTTACATGTAGGAGGGACACCCAAACAACTGAATGTAATGACGAAAGAAAATAATGTTTGAAACATTCCTATATACTCATAAAACCTCAGAAAGCTTAAGAATAGATTTAACAAAAGTTGGACAGAAAATCGTTTCGGTGAAATGAAAATACTTTGGAAAAAGTTTTCAAGTTTTAATAAGAAAGTTATTATTATTTATTTATTTTATTTTAACACATAGGTATTGGTACAAGGAGGCACCAAATACATATGCGCCACACAAATCTTTGATTTGTGTGAGGGCTGTGATACTACCCGGGTGCCCAGACCGAAGCAGGTGGTTTTCTTAAGGGGCCACACCCCGAGCCTTCGACCTGAACGTCTGACCCACAAGGCAGTGGAGCATCGTAAGGAGATGCAGTCCCATGGTAGCCGGTGACCAACGATTGGTTCATACGCTATTTGTTCCCGCAGGATACTGGAACCCATGTGCACCATTGGTTTGGGATCCGGTTAAAGCGCCGGACATTCGCTTTTCGTCCTCTCATTTTCGTGAACAACAGCCCCGCCACGAGAAGGCATTGAGTAGGACCTCCCTGGCACAGGCTATATACGCGTGGCCATGTGAGAGCATTTCGAGAGGGAGAGCGGACTCTCCCCACTCTCGGCCGTACCAGGGCATTTGGGCTGCTAGTCAAGGTCCTACCATATGAACGAACTCAAACATTTTAAATAGAAGAGATGAAGTGCAACTAATTCCAACATGATAATTACTAACCAGTCAATAAAAGAGGTAAAACAGTGTTTTCAATTGCTGCATCAATCTACACCTCAAACAATGTGAACATCAACAACACACAGTCAACTATTTAGTCAATTATCATGACTAGATGCTTTTGACTTATTTTGAGTAACATGAATAAGACGAATACAATTATTTATCATCTGATCAATACATTCTGAGAACGATTTACTACTATCTAGTTTTAAATTCAATTTTAAATAGTTTGAATTACCCCTTTGCTGATATTCTGACTGAAATTAAATCAATCTTGGTTTGGGATAAGTGCACCTTGTGCGGATTGCCCTGATACAGTCGTTATGACACAAGTCAATATGAAATAGATAGAATGTAGCTAGAAGTGGAATCCATAATGTGTGTTTCGCCTTATTTGGTCTCATCACCTGGATGTACCTGCATCTCAGAGTTGATATTCAAGCCAGGACTTGATACACAAGACTTCATACAGGATCCACACATACCAAACCAAGAATGATCGAATTTCAGTCCAAATATCAACAAAGAGATAATCTGAACTATTTTAAATTGAATTAAAACTCATACCCGTTACAAAAGTGATTGGCTATCTGAAGTGACATTTGAAGCGAACAGTAGTGAGTTAAATCTGACAGTGAACATTAACTCCGTGAGGCACGTACATCCAGATGACAAGTCCTGAAGAGGATGAAACGTACGCCCCGAATTCTACTACTAGCCACATTCCGCCTATTCTGTATTATCTAATTTTAGTTCTATAGACGATGAGGATAACTAATATAACTTTGATCATAGTTGAGGGCTACAAATAACTAATGGATTTAGCTAAGAATAGTATATACTTATATACATAGCGTCACATGCTGAAATTAGAACAAATTTAACATAAAATGACTCATATTCACGCTATAAACCACTAAATTCAGAGTGTGAATACTGAATAAATAATTGTTTATTAAGATTTGTTTTGACCTTAATTATATTAGATAATTTTATTGATTATTTCGAAATATTATGCTCGAGATAAGCTGACGGGTGAAATATTGCAATTACTTTATTTCGATCGCTGAGATTTTCATAGGTATAACTGTAGTGAACAAGAACACCAGTGGGGACAATCGAATGTATTTAGACACATAATTACAGAGCATCTCAATAAAATCTGAGAACCATATATTAAATCGTTAATTTGCAAAATATCAATCCATCATATTAAACTTGAAATACATTCTATGCCTGACCACCGTCACATACTACTTGTGTGGATATAATATACCCACACCAAATAACCTCATAATAAAACTTATTTTGCTGATAGATCCTGGGTTTGAATCTCGCGGGGGCAGGATCGTGGATGTGCACTGCTAAGGAGTCCCATACCAGGAAGAAACGGCCGTTCAGTGTTTCCATGTTTTTCATGGTGGTCTAGCTTCAATTGACTCATGATTCCAACTATTGAAATTACTAAAATCTACACAAAACCCCTTCTGATATTATTATTATTTAAATATTACCATTTTGATAATCAGGAAACACAAATTACGATAATGCAATGAGAAGACGAAGTTTATCAGAATTATGTGGTACATTCGCGCAATACATTTCGAACAATCTGATCACACATATACTTGCTAAGACATTTTTATATGAAAATTAAAAGGTCAACTAGACAGGTTAAAGGTAAGCCATGACAAATAAAAAAATATTAAAGTACGCAAAAACAATGTGATTACCACGGGATAATAAATCAGTATTACCAGGGTAGGTTAAGTGTAAGGACAAATTGTATTTGAACACACAAATTATGTAATTACTCATTACCAGTAATTTCTCATTGAGCTTAAGTTTACAAATATTCATTAACGGTTACGGTTAGTAGAATGAGAGGATAATAATGGTGACAATAAAAAATAACAAAGTCTTGCAAGCATGAGAAAATCCATAGAATCTATGACACTGTATAAGTGGATGGTTAAAGATGATATGTATCGAAATTGATTATTGAGGACTTTAAAATCCCTCTTCTAAAGAAAATCATAATATTTTGGGAATGGTTAACAAGTTTTATTTCTAACGTCTCTAAGCTAATTGAATTTTAATTTCCTTGGTTGATTCAGTGTTTTTCTTTCTATAATAAATGTACATTACCCTGAGTTATCAAACTAATGTACCAGCTTCTAAGTAAGATAATTTTAGTATTTTAGGTGCTTGTACGTAACGATTGTAATATTATTTTATGTAAATGCAAAATTTTTCAAGTAATTAACGAAAAACGATAAAGTTTATACTTTAAGTTAAAATTTATCAATTATTTTGTGAAACATTTGAAATTTATCATAAATTTAGGTATGCTAATGATGTGAAACGAAATGTTTTATTGTGCCGAAGTATCTATTGGGAATGTGTTCGAATAGGTAGAATATTAAAAGGTTAAATGTTCACAGAACTTACCCAATGATATACTAGTGCATAGAGTCAAATATGACACTTTTTTTACACCAGCATACTTGGAGGCTTGATCTTTACACACATACAGTATATAAGCAGACAGGGTTAAAGGGATAATTGAGCTGACTGCACGACAACTAGGGCAGCTATCACCCATTGAAGTTAACTTTCTCAGATGAGACGAATCGTCGATATCGCCACCTTCAACTGTTGATTCATTCATGATTCTGTATTGAAAAACAAAACAAACGCAGGAGAAAATTAAATGAGAATAAATACACATGATTCATTTTTGATATAGTCTATTCTGGTGAAAATATTCGAATGTTAGAAATTCTACAAGCTTAAAAGTTCTCTCCAACAATTAGGTCACTACCTACTTAAATAAAAAAACACTAGAAACGTGATAGCTATTGTTGATTTCGTGCATAAGATCTTTTATCTTAAAATACACACTAATACCGATTTATGTTATATAATGGTACATTCCAATGTAAGGAATGTTTTTCATCAAATTGAACGTTTTCCCATAGGACGGTTAGAATATCTTCAAAGACATTTTAGGTTGCGAATAAAAATATTTCAATTAGAATTTAAATACTACGAAAAAAATAATCTTATTTCGTGCACCTTAATGAGTAACCAAACAATTTTAAAAGTCAACACATTTCGAAATTTTTATGCAGAATATTTGTGTGAGTTGTAATTTGCTAAAATGTCGGTTTCATTGTCTGATCATCAGAAGTAATCAAGCTCTCCTGATACATCTAGTTATCTTATTAGACTCGAACAGTTCGTAAATCAGTAGTAAAAATACCAACACAATACTAGTAATAATGGTGGGCTTAGATCGGTTCATTATTTCAATGAAACACAATAATCTCGACAACCCCATACTAAAAATAGTAATCTAAATTAATTTGTAACAACAAAAGGATTCATTCAAATCCATCAGTATACTGGAACTAAACAGATGTTTACGAAACATTTCTTTAATGTTTCGTCAGGTGTATAGTTCATCTTACAATAAAAGTAAGCTAAAAGTTAGAGAGCATAGGTTTCCATTTAGCTTTACTGTGACTGGTACACACAATAAGATGTGATTTTCAATCATTAATACAATAATGAGTCAATTAACTGCAACATTAGGTAAATAAATCAGTTTGTTTTTCAATGAAACGTTCTTATCTTAATCATATGATTCTGCATGTTAATGAGTTTTCACATACGAACATGTTATTTTGATAGATTTTTTAAGTTTATTAATGTCATATTATTATCATCAGTACTATTACGAAAAAGGAACTGAAACTGAAATAACGTTGATGATCGCAAATCGAATAAGGTGGTTGGAAGTCCTAGTACTAGTGAAATACAGTGGATCTGATTTCGCGCCTCTTCATATAACACGATAAATAAATTAATTAATTTCCAATTTTTTTGTCAAACACGGTAGATTTTGCGAGAGGGTATGTTTTAAGCCATTGATGGAAAGCTAGATAGACGCCTAGAATATACATAAAGGGCAATTTGTCTTAAGTACATTAACTAATACAGTTGTTGTTACATTACATAGACAATGTCGATGTATAAAATACTAAAATGTCATAAGATTACGATATCTCCCAGGACCAGACAAGTTAGCTATAAGCTCGCCCAAGTGAAAAAGATATTTAAGAACAATTTAAGTCAGAGCTGAGAAAACTATAGCCAGTCATAGGATTTTATATAACCAATGAAATCAATATGAGCTAAGAGTAAAAACGAACAGGACTAAAGTGATTTGAAATTTTAAAGAAACACCAACTTATATCCAAATTTTAGGAAATGTTTTACTAAATGTGTTAGATTTTAGTTCAAGTTTATCCATATTAGGTGGATTATACTTCTTTTAGTAAACTGTGTCATCGGTTAAGGTGTATCATAACTTTTTGGAGATTTCAAAGTTCTCGAATCATACTTAAACTTTGTGATTGCTTCATTTTCTTTTAATATTGAAGCAGCTAATCATGACGTTTACATGAAACCCAAACGGACTCTGCAAACAAGGAATGTTAAGTGAACTCGATTCATCTTTGACATAGGATATCCATCACAATCTGAAACATTTTGTATAAAAGTTGTTCGCCTTTTGGTGACGTATTATTTACTAAATAGTTCAATTAAAATACCTGAAACCTATCGTTTAAATTAAAGATAGATACTCAGTACAATAAAGTTACCAAAAACCTATAAAATATATTAGTTGCAAAGACTTCGGTTAAACTGTTTAAACAACTTGTGAAAAGGTATACCACATTCTAGTCCACAACTATGGTTACACTCGACAGATAAAACATACAGTCTTGAAGGTTTGAACAACCCTTCACTTGGTCATTTTTAAATTATGGATGAGATTTCACGCTTCAATTAACATTATACTTAAAACATATTACATTTAGCTAGCTTAATTGTAGCTACCTAATTTATTGTTGTACTGAACTATCCCTCTAATTCAAAATACAACCCTTATATTGATAGGTAACTCTGAAGTTCTACAGAATGAAGTGTTGTGAAAACAGCAGTAACTAAACTGTATATGGACACTAATTTCTTCGCACTGTATATTTTATTCACATAGTGGTAACCACCAATTCTTGACTGATAAGGGTACACAAGTAATGCAAGTAAACAAACTTAGGGTTTGCTATTCACTGTTTGTAATAATCCCATTCCTATATTGTATACTGAAATAGAAATTATTATACAAATCCAAATAAATTAGAAATATTAATCCACAGTTCATCATTTCTGAAATAATAGATTCGTTAACTCAACAGTGTCAAAATTTGCACCGAATGCTGAGATCTTTACTTGAAGCAATCAAATGGTTACATCTTGTTAATATTCTTATTTCATAAGACTATATTGTATGTTTTAAATTGACCACTCTCTCAGACAATGTGAATGAACTACATTGGAATACCTGTATCCTATAGTTCACCAATCATAACTATTGAACCTTTTACTAAATCAAAAACAGACAAAAGAGTGAATTAATCCAGTGGCCGTAAATTTTAATATATTTCCTGTTATAAATAAATAAATAAATAAATAAATATATATATATATATATATATATATATATATATATATATATATATATATATATATATATATATATATATATATATAACAATCTACTCGATGCTCAATTTATTTGAAATATTTTTTTTATTTCAACATGGTGGAGAAGATTTGTAGCTCAGGCGGATGATTTTGATGGAGTTTTGTTCTCTGAGCTGGATGGTTTGGTCGTGGAGCTTTCATTGTTCTTCTGAACGACATCATCAGCACAAACTTCAGATAGAAGTGAAGTGTTCGAATTTCTCCATATGCGTTTCACAGCTTGTTCTGTGCACCTCGATGTTGATTGGTTCTTATTGACCTTAAATTTGTCATTGTTTACTTTTTTGTCTTGGTTTTGTCTCCTATTGGTTTGATTCTTGTTCCTATATTTGTGCATAAGTTTCTTGATTGGTTGATAAATCGGATCGATTTCAACATGTTTGTTGATTGCTGATTGCCCTGAGTGCGCCAGGCTTATAAAAATTCTCTTGTGTATTTAGAATTTTCTCTGTCCACGATTTCCACATTTTTCCAGTCGAATGTGTGTCCGCAGTTGTCCACGTGTATTGATATAAGTGAGGAGATATCATGCCGTTTGACTGCTAATTGATGTTCATGTAGGCGCAGGTGAAGGGGGCGTCCACTTTGTCCGATGTAGTGTTTGTCGCAGTTGACACAATTTATTTTGTAGATGATGTTCGACTTATCTTTGTGTTTCCTCACTGAATCCAGAAGTTTTGAGTGATGAATAGGGATTCAGTGAGGAAACACAACAAGAAATAAGGCAAACTATAGTACCGCTAACGCAACAGGTGAAGGAAAACAACCAACTGACCCCACAAGAACAAAATGCCTTGAAGGAACTTAGAACTAGAAAGGATATTGTCATCGTTCCAGCGGACAAAGGACGCACAACAGTAGTTATGGACAAGGAAGAATACCTCAAAAAAGCCGAACAACTACTTGAAGATAAGAACACATACAAACGGATAGATATAAATCCTGTCAAAAAATTGGACAACAGAATCTCAAAGACATTAAACAAGCTAGTCAAAGCAGGAGAAACAACAAAACAAGATCAATGGAGAATGAGATCCAATGGACCAGTACTCCCCCGATTCTACGGCAGACCAAAAATACACAAACCAAACATTCCACTACGTCCAATTGTAGCACTGCCCGGAACGCCAACATACAATTTATCAAAAGACGTTTCACGAATACTGAAACATTTAGTCGATTCATCCAACCACTCCATCAAATCCCCTACACAATTCCTGGACCAAATTAAAGACATTCAAATCAACAACGACGAACTAATGATATCCTTCGATGTAATAGCATTATTTACCTCAATCGAACCAAGGTTAGCAAAAGAAACTATATCCCTGCTCCTCGCCAACGACACAAATCTCACAAAGTACACAAAACTTTGAAGTCAAAGTCTACTAGAACTCATCGACTTTTGCCTAACAACATATTTTCAATTCAACAACAAAAATCTACGAACAAACGAAAGGGACACCAATGGGGTCACCAATATCAGGACTGATCGCAGAAGCAGTGATGCAAAGACTAGAAGCCGCGATATTACCAATGATCAAGCCAAAAATTTGGATTCGCTATGTAGACGACACATTCGTTATCGTCAAAAAGAATGAGCTAGAAAACACTTACAAACTGATCAACAACGTCTTCGATGACATCAAGTTCACAATGGAACAGGAGGCAAACAACAAACTACCATTCTTGGATATATTAATCACTAGAACGGATACAGGAAAACTAGAAACTCAAGTATATAGGAAACCGACCCACACAGATCAAATTCTGAACTACAATAGCAACAACCCAAGAGCACATAAAATCAACTGCGTACAAACTTTGTTCAAGAGGGCAAGGACACACTGCAGCACGAAGAAAGGAAGAGAAATACCTGAAGGAAGTATTTCAAAAGAATGGCTACCCAATCAACTTCATCAAAAAATACCAACCACATGCAGCATCAGAGCACAAATCAAGCACAGAAATCAACAAAAGGATCACCCTACCATATATAAATGGCGTATCAGAAACCGCAACAAGACTGCTAAAAACCTTCGGGATAGGTGTGGCACACAAACCGACAAAATCACTACAGTCAATCCTATGCAAACCAAAGGATGAAATAACAAAAGAAGATAAGTCGAACATCATCTACAAAATAAATTGTGTCAACTGCGACAAACACTACATCGGACAAAGTGGACGCCCCCTTCACCTGCGCCTACATGAACATCAATTAGCAGTCAAACGGCATGATATCTCCTCACTTATATCAATACACGTGGACAACTGCGGACACACATTCGACTGGAAAAATGTGGAAATCGTGGACAGAGAAAATTCTAAATACACAAGAGAATTTTTAGAAGCCTGGCGCACTCAGGGCAATCAGCGATCAACAAACATGTTGAAATCGATCCGATTTATCAACCAATCAAGAAACTTATGCACAAATATAGGAACAAGAATCAAACCAATAGGAGACAAAACCAAGACAAAAAAGTAAACAATGACAAATTTAAGGTCAATAGGAACCAATCAACATCGAGGTGCACAGAACAAGCTGTGAAACGCATATGGAGAAATTCGAACACTTCACTTCTATCTGAAGTTTGTGCTGATGATGTCGTTCAGAAGAACGATGAAAGCTCCACGACCAAACCATCCAGCTCAGAGAACAAAACTCTATCAAAAATTTATTTTAACACATGGGTATTGGTACAAGGAGGCACCAAATACATATGCGCCACACATATCTCAATTTATTTGTGTGAGGGCTGTGATACTGCCAAACCTTAGTAATGATACCTATATTCCTTGTTAGTTTATCTGTAATCTTTCATTATTTCTAGAGTACAGATGTAAAGGTTAGAAAATCCAAGAAATCAATTAAACGTTAGTCTGAAATAACAATAGCAACATAATAATGGTAATGACAAATCAGAAGAGAAAGTGTGATTTATAAATCATGTAATAAATACATGAAGTTGAAATGTAGGTTATAATTAGATCTTTATATACATATTAATTATATGAAATCAACAAAAAAACAACGTAATAACATTGAAAAATGACAGTAGTATTTATAACGTATTTTCTCAACCAATAAAGATGATCAATAACAAGCCAAATCAGTAAGTTTAATTTATTTGGTATGTAAATTCATTCAAGAATAAATACTTATCTTTGTTTTGTATAAATCATGATATAATTGTTAAACAATGAAAATAGAACCAAAAAGCAAACAAACATCATAGAATTAGGATTCTATAGAAACTATTTTATATTAAATAGAAAGGTAAAAGGAGTCTGAAAAACAAAACAATTGTCACAAATCTTTTCAACATATAATATGCTGAACAATCAAAACATATAAATGAGAAAAATTACAACAATATGCATAGTTAAAAACTAATCATTAGAATTAACTATTCGTTATATATATATATATATATATATATATATATATATATATATATATATATATATTTCAACAATAAAATTATGTATAAGAATGAATGTTGGGATAATGAATAACCAAATATCATTAAGTTCAATTTGTTATGCAATAAAATGTGAATTAGAAGGGACAATGTAATTATCGGACAGAGTAGTAGTAGTATTAGACTTTTGCAATTGATGAGGAACCATAAGGTTGATGATGTTTATGAGAAAAAGAAACAATAAAAGGATGACCTTAACATCTGCATCTGTCTTGATTTTCTTGTTCTTCAGTTCCCAAACGAATACTATCAGGATAATCAGAGTGTAGATTTGTCTATAAAGAAAAAATTTTTACATCAATATTAATGATATTAAGGTTGATAAAAATATAACGTTTTAGTGAACATAAACGTTGAAACAAAGCAAAAATGTGGTTTTGATTTGAATGTGTTTGGTGTTCAAATGATTTTAGTCATCGATCTAAAAAAATCAAACAGACTACAACAAAGTTTTATTCACTGATTTGTGTCATATAACTTTTGTTGACAATACATATATACTATATGGCGCTAAAATAAGTTTCTATAACAATACTGAAGGAAATGACAATTCTCATCTTGATCAAACTGATTGAACAGCACATATTAACAACTTATTACAATTATATAGTGCAGATACGATTGAATTGTACAAAAAAAAACAGAATTTAAGCGACTTGAATTATCTTGAATAAGATAAAAACACGCTACATTTACTTTATGGCTTCTGAAATGAATAAAATCATTTCCCAAGTAAATTATCCTTTACATGAAGTGGACTACAATGTATATTAGTAGTAGTAAAAATAGCCAATGTTCATGAGTATCAATATTAAATTTCGTTAAAAACTCGACTTAGTTGCACCCCCCAAATGCCCTGGTACGGCAGAGTGGGGAGAGTCCGCTCACCCTCTCGAAATGCTCTAACATGACCGCGCGTACATAACCTCTGACAGGGAAGTCCTAATCACTGACTCCTTGTGGCGAACCGGCTGCTTACGAAATTGAGAGGACAATGTCCGGCACTTTACCCGAGTTGGTGGACTCGGAGGGTTCACCTAGGGGAATTGGAAAACCCTGATTCCAAACCAATGGTGCACATGGGCCCCAGGATCCTGAGGGAACAAATGGCGTATGAACCAAATTTTGGTCACCGGCTACCATGGGACTGCATCTCCTTACAATGCTCCACTGACTTGTGGATCAAACCTTTAGGTCGAAGGCTCGGGGTATAGTCCCCTAAGAAAACCACCTGCTTAGGTTTGGGCACCCGGGCAGTATTACAGCCCTCACACAAATCAAAGATTTGTGTGGCGCATATGTATTTGGTGCCTCCTTGTACCAATATCTATGTGTTTAAATAAAATAGTAAAAAAATTAATTAGTGGCTTCATATATCAGCTTACCAACATAATATATCTACTGGACATTGATAGAGCTGGAAGAAAACGTTCTTCTTGATATGTACATAAATTTTAAGAGATGTCTACGTTCGAATGTACTTATTGCAAATTTGGCTGGAAGACCTGTCTAACCTATGTTTGGAGTAGAAAGTATTAAGTATGTTGAGATTTCATTAGCCCCAAAACCTTTACTAACCAAACTTATGCAATAATTGAAATCCCTAAAAAACTCAGCTACTTCAGGTATTGATGTAGACTAGTAATTGAAGCAACGTTCCGTATTTACAGGAAAGGAAATATTTTCTGAATACTTTCGGTCGACCATCGTCTCCTGTTGGGAGATGAATTACCGAAGTTAGATGGGAAATTGTTATCTCTAAAAGTATGTACATAACAGAACTAAGCAAAAATGAAGAGGATAGGCATTCCAGTTAAATTTCGCCCGATATAATTGGTTCAGAACAATTTGGCGTTCTAAACTGACCAATAGTGCTCAATTACAACATCTTCACTACACATTTTTTGCTGCGCGTTTCGATTACCGTCAGTCAGAATCGAATGTATTCTTAGGTAAAAGAATACGACTACGGCCAGGTATCGGTAAGTATGCCTACAATTCAAAACCGATCAATTAGGGTCTATTTGACACAAAATTTAGTGGTCATAATTTAAACCCATTTCCTCATCTCAGGTCTGTTGTTATTAAGTTCTAGTAAGGTGTAGGATTACTACAGGAGCTAATAATTAATAAATTATGGTGATGGCAATATATAGTGATATGCAGTGTAGGCGAAGGAAATTAAGAAATCAAAGAGGTTAGATAGCAGGGAATTTATGTAACCCAATAAAAAAAGATTGACCAGTGGTCAAATGCTCAAGTATATGTGGGACAATCTGTTTCACAGTGTGAATTAAAAAGGGGGTCTAAATTAGTGATTAAATATATAATGAACAGTTATTAATCAGTTGCATTAACACAAATAGTTTTATTCTACATTTAACAGATAGTGGGATATTTCTACTACTTGGTTTCCTTTTTGATTTCTTGTGACATGGTAGTTTGAAATGTAATCAATTCAGTCGATACATTATGTCAGATCTCAGTTTTAGATAATCTGTTAGATCGACGACAAGTGCGACTGTCATAGTTGGTGATACAAAGTCCAAACCTTTTTAAGAAATGGATACAATAAATGTATCGAACTTTTATTACTTTCTTTTCCTTGGATTTTACCGAGTGATAAAGTAGAAAGTCAGGCGATAACAGCACCGCAATCTTGTGACAACAAACGTACAACAACCGATTTGGTCTCATTAATAAGATGCACAAGTAATTACTTTTTAAAAGTTGGACACATTTATATTAACCGTTAATTAGAAACCATGTACCTATGTGCATGATCACGAAAATGAGCTTATGACACAGTTAACTGAGAATAAATTCCCTTTTGATACGAAATAGCTGGATTAGGTTCGAAAAAGTATGGAAAAACTGTCAAGGGTTTTTTTTAATATTTAAGACAGTTGAGGTAGGATACAGTGAAGCTTAAGCTACTATTTATAAAAAATATTGGTTTAAAAGGTTCACAGGTTGTACGGAATTTTTAAAAAAACACGTAGAAACTATGATTAAAGTCTTTTGGTACAGTAAAGACAACGTTCAATGTGTGATTTTTAAGGGTGAATTTTCTCTGAAGATATCTCCAATCAAAACACTATAGAACAAGTGTTTGACGCTACCGATTCACTCGTTTGGCGAATATCAACCAACTTTATACATTTTTTTTAACAAAATCATTATGTTTCCGTAGTTTTAGGTTGGCTGATCAGTCACATAGCATTCCTTGTTCAATGAAATAACATCAGCACTATGGACCGAGGGCGCTAATACATGGTCACTGATTCGGCTTATCTCAAGGCTTACAAACTGTAGGCGTACCTCAGAAGTACATAGACATTGTGAAGGCTCCTTACTCGAACACTACTAGTCCAGTCAGAGATTATGGCGAACTATCATCTGCTTTTGCAACCTCAAGTGGTGTCCGTCAAGGCTGTCCACATTGGCCTTTTTTGTTCAACTTTATCATAGACCTCCTGATGGAAATAACGCTCTCATCGACTGAATTCTCGGGCATTGATCTCCTACCAGGTGGTCCACTTATTGACTTAGAATACGTAGATGACATAGTCCTGTTTGGTGAAGACGCTGATGAAATGCAGAGTCTTTTGCTAGCACTGAGCAACAATGCCAGAATGTTTGGGATGCGCTTCTCTCCCTCTAAATGCAAGTTGTTGTTTCAGGACTGGTCTGCGTCAACACCCGAACTAAGGATAGAGAGTGAAGTAGTCGAACGCGTTGACAACTTCACTTATCTTGGAAGTTTGATCAGCCCTAATGGGTTGGTGTCTGACGAAATCTCAGCACGGATTCGAAAAGCTCGTTTGGCCTTTGCCAACTTACGTCATCTATGGCGAGGGCGAGATATCCGTTTATCAATTAAGGGACGAGTATACTGCGCGGCAGTTCGTTCCGTTCTACTATATGGCTGTGAAACATGGCCATTACCAATATTTGACCACAGGTGCCTTAGAAATATTGCTCGCATCTGCTGGGATCACCGGGTAAGTAGTAGTGAAGTTAGACGCAGGGTATTAGGGAATGATGGTTATGAATCTTCATTGACTGAGATGGTCGGGCCACGTAGTGCGTATGCCTGAACACCAATTACTACGACGCGCAACGCTCACTGGTGTTAGAGATAATTGGAAGAAAGTTGGGGGCGGCCAAACCAAAACGTGGCATCAGTGCTTGAAGACACTAACTTCTGGGCTGAGCCATGTTGGAAGATTCAGACTGCCTGGTTGGCGTCCGCGTGACCATCGTAACCAATGGTTGGAGACTCTTGGTGACATGGCTCAGAATCGATCACAATGGCGTCGGTGTATTCACTCTCTGTCTTCCTTTAAACTAAGAGATTAAAATCACTTCATATATTTCTTTCTACGAACTAAGTTTTTCTTCCTGTACTATCTTCTTATATGCAATCTTTCTTCAATATATTACCACCACTGAATTAACTACTACTATGAATCCGGTGTTCATGTTGTTGTGCCAATGCGGTATGGCAACTTGGACCGATGCATATATGTGCCTGGTCCTACGTTGCAGCTGACTGACTGACTGACAAACTGTAGGAAACAAATAATAAAGTAAACACATTGGCAGACATTCTAATGTAGACGACCAAAACTAGAAGAGTCTTTAAAAGCTAACTAAATTCAATAATCTGCACAACTATTAGCATAAAAATCAACAGCACGGGTTACATATGACACATACGCACGTAAAATATTGATTACAAAAACCAAATACTGTTCTGATGATAAAAGTATAAAATGTACGTCTAGCCCAGTTGAATCTTTAAAAATATAAACTCCATTGTGGAATACGTAAAATATCAGTGATTCAATAATAAATGGTGCGTAAACTAATATTAAACCGAATAACAAAAATTTGATCATAGCTGACTGGTGATGGATAGATATGATTTGATCAATAAATGTAACTTAAATGGCATAAACACAAGCTGGTCTAGCTCGTTATTGCTAAACGTGACTGATGTATGAATTGATGTGATTAAGAGATCAAATATGTTTTTTTTTAAAACCATACTGCAACTGGAATCCGAAAATTGGTCATCTTAAACCCTTACCGAATTTAAAACATGCAACTAAGTTGCGAAATATGAAAGCGAATAGTTCATAATATTGATTTACTAAACCCATACACAGAACTTGCCTTTACAGAGATTAGTTTCTTTTATAGAAAAATAAGCTTAAAATATTGATTTTTAGCTAGTATTTTCTATGATATGTGCAATTTGGTATTATTCACCTAAAATATTCCAAAGTTTATAGTATTAAAAAGACCAACAATTTCATGTGATCGAAATTAGTATTATTAAACTAAATGAAATATATATCGACAAGTAAATATAAAGTTTAGGCTAGGCTGCCGAACTTGGATAACTTGTGGACACGGTAAGATATGTAGCTACCTCTTAAACAAAACTGATAATAATTGTATCGGAAAGTTACATATTAGTCTAAAGCTGAAACGGCTGATGCGAATTTACCACGTGGCGTTAGCAAATGATCAACAGTAGTAAATCACAATATTTTTTGTTTTTTTAACTGAAGAGTACATTCCTACTAATTTTGTAACTTCAGGTGGGAATTTCAAACACCGGATATTTATTTAATAGAGTCGACATACAGAAGAGTAAAAAGCTTTACACAAGTCAGATAAAAACAGTGCACTATTAAACAGTCCGTAGTTGACATAATCTAAATGAACAATGTTGTTTAACAAGACAAAATAGTTATCAATTAATCTTACGATAAAAAGGGAAAACTCACCGCAGACTCTTCGTCTATGGCGACTCTTATAATATGAGCAAAAGCTTTCTCAACATTTGTATTTTCTTTAGCACTACATTCAAAATATGGAAGGTTACCATTTGCCTGACACCATTGCTTTGCACGATTTTCGGATACCTACATAAAATGAGTAAAACGTACACTTACCAGTTAAGATATGAAACGTCTAAAATTGCACAGAAACTCTATTTTTTAAAGAGGAGAAAAATGATATTAGATATCTTGTCAAGTGAGATAAAAGTCATAGAGAGTGAATTACCTGTGAGGAAAACTTTACATGAATCAACCAGTTTATCATGAAAATCCAACCATAAAATGTAACTGAAGTGACCTCGGGAAGATTTTGTTAAATCGGGAAGTTTGTAAACACACATTTGGTTGTAAATGTTAAGCAGTGCAAAATAAGTTAAAATAGTTCAACATTAGAAGGATCACAATCCGTATTCAGTCTACCTAAATTTCTGTTATTGGTTAATTGTAAGCATACATCGATAGAGTTCCTCATAGCAATGAATCACAACCGAAAGGTGTTGCATAAGACGACTAAATAGTTGACGAATAATTAATTTAATAAAAATGACTATTGACAGTGACTTCAGTACCTGGATCAAATAACTTTCCTAGTTAGATGAAAACGTCATGGAATTTGAAGTATATGTATATGTATAATGAAAACAGCTTAGATATACCAAAACATCATCTTGTGGTAGATTTACACTAAAAATGGCGAAATATTTTATGAAAGGTCATAAAGACATGCAAGGTTATGTAATGACTTTACTAGCTTCAAACGCAAATACACAGTTAACAAATCACTTACAGCTCTATTATCTAAATCACATTTATTTCCAATAACAATAAATGGAAACTTTTCGGGATTACGAGGGCTTGATTGCACCAAAAACTCATCTCTCCACGAATCTAACGTTTTGAAGGTACTTGTCATAGTAACATCATAGACGAGGACGCAACAATCAGCACCACGATAAAACGCAACTCCGAGAGACTGGAACCTTTCCTGGCCAGCAGTATCCCAAATCTGCATTGTTACAAGACGGTCATCAAAAACCTCTTGTTTTGTAAAAAAGTCTGCACCGATTGTGGCTTTGTACTGATTACTGAACTTCTTATCGATGTATTGGGTTATCAAAGACGTTTTCCCAACACTCGCACACTAAACACTAATGTTCAAAAAGAAACATACCCACTATCTCCGATTACAATAATCTTTAATGATATTTTCTTCTTGATGACCATAACCTATATCTATGAATATAACAGAACAGAGTTGTATAAAACATCTGGTTATCACCATTAATTAGTACGATTATCTGACTAAAATTTATATGGAGTGACCCAGACATTTTCTTGTGTATTATTTAAAATTTAATGATTCAGTACAGAGACGGAATTAAATGCACAAAACAGATTTTATTAAAAAGACAAGTGACTTGAAACCACTGAACAAAGCATGACAATACGTTGATAAAAATCCATTTCTAAACGGTTTAGATGAATAGCCAGGAGTATGGGGATCTTCATCGACTGACATGGTTGGGCCACGTGTTAAATGTACTAGAACACCGATTACTACGACGCACAATACCGACTAGTGTTGGGGATGGTTGAAAGAAATTTAAGGGCGGCCAAACCAAAACGTGGCATCAGTGCTTGAAGACACTAACTTCTGGGCTGAGCCATGTTGGAAGATTCAGACTGCCTGGTTGGCGTCCGCGTGACTATCGTAACCAATGGTTGGAGACTCTTGGTGACATGGCTCAGAATCGATCACAATGGCGTCGGTGTATTCACTCTCTGTCTTCCTTTAAACTAAGAGATTAAAATCACTTCATATATTTCTTTCTACGAACTAAGTTTTTCTTCCTGTACTATCTTCTTATATGCAATCTTTCTTCAATATATTACCACCACTGAATTAACTACTACTATGAATCCGGTGTTCATGTTGTTGTGCCAATGCGGTATGGCAACTTGGACCGATGCATATATGTGCCTGGTCCTACGTTGCAGCTGACTGACTAAGAGCGTAGTTGATACATTCTCTACGAAAAATAAAACTCGATTCCCGAAAATTTGGTCTTTATATATCTTCGAGGCTGACAGGTGGTCTTCCATGAAACTCATGTGATTCAGTTTGAGTACCCAGTCACTGTTATATCTCATACATTCATAAAAACAAAAATAATGAATAAAAGTTCACTTACTGGACATTCTCTTAATCTAATAACCACATACTTCACCTAATGCGTTCTGTCACGCTAAACTGGCTTGAAGTCGTTAAACCCTGTCACAGGATACGAAATTTGATGCGATTATTAAAAAACCATAGCGCATGTGACTGCAGGGGTGGGTAACACGGGATTGGATCTGCCAGGAGCGTAAGTTCCCTTAAATTTACATGTACACCTTGTTGACGAGTGCCGAGTGGCATAAAACCTAGGTTTAGGGTTTTCTGTCGACTGCCACTAGCAACCACCTTGCAACTATACATTCCGTTTAAAACTAAAACGACTCGAGTTTCCTAGAACCGTGTGCCAGTAAACATGCTGTGCTCGGTGTTTGAATCGTATATGCAGCCAAACAACAGGGATCATGGGTTGAAACTATATAATCCAATGCGTTTACGCTATATTTTAAATTTGTATATAAATTCAGGTATGGCTATTTGATCTCACCTCAGAAATTGCGATTAGCCATTCACATACCTGAAGACCTATAGCAACCCGTAGTACTTCAGGTGTATGTATAACAACAAGTTCAACAGCAAAACGGAAACTCGTGGACTCAATTCCAGGGGTAAAGTTGTTAGTGTGCTGTCCTATTGGATAAACCGATAAAACATTAGGGTAAAAATAAACATCATAATTTGATCATAGTCTTTGCTTACATCCTCATTTGTTACACTTTAGATGAAAGAAAAGGGAATTCTGCCAAAAGTCTTCCCGCTTTCTGAGGGTTAGCAGATCGTCTAATTGAGGATACGACGAAAATACCTAATATTGGATTTCTATCTGTGGATCAAGTTCAGAGAAGTCAGATGCGAACTGCCTTTCGTCACCGCTTACTACGGATATCCAGGCCCCAAAAGTGACTAGATAAATGCCGTAACTTATTTGACGTAAAACAAGTACATTTAGGCTTCATGTTTGAATAACGTAGATAAACAAGGAGGCCATGAGTTTAGATACGTTTAGATCGTACCTCCAGATGCACTTACATGTAAATGATAAGACGAGAAATATTTAATGAGCTACACTCAAAACCGAAATCACAATCAAAATGACAGGATAGCGATCACAGATAACAAATCTATAGATGATGATGAATTGCTAACCAGATAGGTGAGATAAAAACTTTTGAATAAAAGTATGGTCGTCTAATGCCCTGGTACATCATAACACCCACAACATAGCTAAAGAAGGTCCTCCGATTTTCTCATTGATTCACCGTTTACAAAAACCCTAGAAAAGTTTGTAGACACCAAATTAAGTAGACTACATTCACAAATGCCTTTTCGGATAGTTGAGTATTGATCCTACTAGCCTCAACCAACTAATCCATTTTACAGCTGCTATTGTTTAATTTTGCCAAATATACATTTCAAGAGATATTATACAGTATCGTTACGACCATTATACTCAAAGAAACATGGTGTTAATGTACAATAAATAGATAAAACATCTATGCACAAGCCTAAAAACCACAAGAATGTAAGTATAGGTAACCTAAAATGACATGCAGTACGAAAATAGAAATGTAACTCAGCAAATACACATTATATGAAAGTTTTCCCTTAAACTGTGAGATTAAAATTACTTTATATCCTCTTTTCTACGAACAAATTCTTCCTTTCTGAACCATAACCTTACACACAATCTTCCTTTTTTATATTTTAACCAGTGAACTAACTACTTCCATGAATTCGGTGTTCATGTTGTTGTGCTAATGAAGTATGGCAATTTGGACAGATGCATATATATGCCTGGTCCTACGTTGTAGCTGACTGACTGACTACCAATACCACCCATATGTCCAAAGCTAAATAGTTGAGACAAGCTTTTAATGTAACCCAATGGCTGAAAGTCTGGAGCTTTAAGCACCAAGTTACTGAACCAAGGTGACAAGATTAGGAGAAATGAGGGATGAGCCTCCGTAATAGCGGTCTCCTTGAGGGACACTAAGATTGGTACAAAAATGCTTGTCCCTTCGAGCAACGCTGACTATAGAATCTTTATACCCTTACTTGACCAGCTGGTAAATAGACTGGCAAGATGAAAAAAAATTTGACACTAGAACCGGAAGACTTGAATGTATATGGCATTTCTCCAAGGTTTATGATCGGCTTCATGTATCTTAAAATAAGATTTACCACAAATACTAGCTTATTTGAAGAAATTTTATTTAGGTCTTTCTCGAGTCAAAAATACCGTCAAAGATATTTCCGGTTTTTAAATTATTCGTGTGCAGGATTTCTAAAGGTTAACGAAAAGTCATGAAACCATGGTCTCAGTATCGTGTACATGAAATTTCCGATCATCTCAAGCAATCTGTGTCACACGACGATACCTATCGTCCATTGTTAGTGATGGTGTTATTTAAATAAAAGTTACTCAAAGAAAGAAGTGACGAATCATCACAGCCCCACGAACGGTCGAGAGCTACAGACCTGAAACAATGTGTCTGGAGACCATATTTTAAATTAAACCTTACAAGAGCCGTCTGTCAGTGGAACTAGATCATCATCAAGGATAAAACCAAGAACCTTACAATCTAAGTAGGGATTATAATGCCTTGGCAGTTGTAGCCTCTTTACCAAACGTCCCGCCTTCAAGAAGTACCTTATTCACTGAAAATGGATAAAGCTTCCTTCAGTTTCAATTTTGTCCTTGAAAGGAATTCGTGTCTCACCTTTGGATAGATCCCAATGTATTCTTATTATTTAAAATTGAATAAGAAAACGCAATGTTTCTGCACTCTAAGTAGGACCGAATAAAACTACTAAAGATTAGGTAGAATGTCCCACTGTTTATATAAATGATCTTCCCCAACATGTAACGTCAGACTTATTGCTCTTTACCGATGACGCGGAACTTTGGAGAGAGATACGCAACCAAGAGGATATGCAGGTACTTCAGGAATATCTGACTCGACTTCAAAGTTGGGCAGATGATAACGGACCTACCTTTAACACCACAAAGTGTAAAGTAGTCCATCTGCGACACGTCGCAGATTACAGTTACAACTTAGGAAACTCCTCTCTAGTAGTATCTCTAGTCAAAAAAGATTTAGGAGTTCTGATGCCCTACGACTTAAAGTCTTACGCCAACTGTGACAGAAATGCCTTTCGAACAAACCTTGCACTGGTAACATTGAAGCGCATTTTTTGGTCAGTTTGACGGGAGAACTTTCCACATAATCTTCAATAGTTTCATTCGTCCCCATTTAGAGTACGGGAACATAGTATTCCCTCCTACACTCCAAAAGGATAAGCAGACTCTGGAGCGTATCCAACGGCGAGCCACGAAATCAGTTCGGGGACTCAAATTTAAACCTTACGATGAGCGCCTCCAGTCACTTGACCTTTACTCATTAGAGTAAAGGCGTCTTAGAGGTGACCTTTTAATGGCTTTCAGTGTCCTTAGCACTCCTGGAAATCCTCTTAAACACCTACTTAAGCTTAGTCTCAACACTAACCTAAGGAGTAATACCCAGAAATTAGAGATACAACATAGTAGAATGGACTGCGGGCACAATTTCTACTCCTTAAGAGTTGTCAAATGCTGGAATCCGCTGCCAGCTGATCTAGTCCAAGCGACTTCCCAGGAGTCCTTTAAGAGGCGACTTTATCTATTCTTAAGGACTAAGGATAGTATCTTACTATGATTTACAAGTTTTTTTTCTCTTTTATCGTTAATATACCTAGGTTCTTGCCTGGAGGTATTGGTGATCCCCTGCTACTAGACACGGAAGCCTGTTAAGCGAAAGCTTCTTCTATTACGTCCACAACCAGTTGAACCATTTTGAACCATTCAACCGAAAATGAGCTTCAATGGTACCAGTGGACGTTTCTCATGGAAGGTACTTTCATCACAGTTAGCATAAAACTTTATTTCATAGCGCATCAAGATTCCCATATCTTCTCCAACCTGGGAAAATTCTAGTGAGGAATAACCTGAATTGTATTTGTAGTTTTGGATGTGTAACTCGTGTATTCGGCAGTCACTGGAGCGAGCTGGAAGATCTAAAACCACAAACACACAATGTTCACTGAGCACTTCACAACACAGGGAGAACACGGAATGGAACCACCAATGATTTATTATTTTAAAATCAAAATTCGCGGGAATGTACAGAAAAGGGGGGGCTAGTTTAGCAAACAGTCTTATGCGTCATTCTGCAGGCTTAGTACATGCAAGGCTTGTTCTTCCTCTTCTAAAGCATTTACTTTCGATCACCCTGCAATAGAAGGAAAAACAGAATCCATTAACACAATATACATAATGATTTTGACGCTGTTACATCGCCCCCTCTCTTAATGAGGCGCTGTCCTCAGCGCCTGGTCTTGGGCATGGATATGCTGACCCTCCTTTAGGTGGCACTTCATAAAATCTCGTGGCCGGCGGTGGGTCGGCGAACTGAACATCGGGGGGAAATGTCGTCCGATCCGGATTTAGCTGGTTGTAGTGTGCTGTTATCACGTCGTCGTTAGGCCGTTGTATGTTGCGTAGTACAAACGTAGTGGAGGATCGGATGAGGACAATTTCAAAAGGGCCTTGCCAGAGCTGATGGAATTTACTGCAACCCCCTAACGAAGTCATGGGACGGCGTAGCCAGACGCGATCTCCGACTGTATACCTTGGTCCCTGCACCTGACGATCGTATATATCTTTTTGGTGTTCACTAGCCTTGCGCAAGTTAATATTGACCAGACGGTATGCATCAGCTAAGCGATTGCAGAGCGTACGTATGTACGGTACATGCTCTTGTTCTTCGTAGGGCAGCAGGGGTGACTGTATCTCCACTGGTAAGCGTAATTCGTGCCCGAAAAGTAAAATAGCGGGTGAAAACCCCGTGGAACCGTGTACCGCCGTAAAATATGCTAAAAGGCATTGGGGAAGTACCTCATCCCATAACTCAGGCGACAATCTGCTGACAAACGACTGTAAGATAGCTTTAATAGTTCTGTTCGTTCTTTCCACGAGACCGTTACCCTCTAGGTGGTACGCAGTGGTGTGCGCCTTTCTGATTCCTAATAGCCGGCATATCTCAGCGATGAGATGGCTTTCAAAGGCTGGACCTTGGTCGGGATGGAGTGAGATTGGTGCACCATAACGAGAAACCCAATGATCAATAAAAGCTCGAGCCACAGTAAGGGCGTCTTGCTGTGGGATAGGTACTGCTTCGCACCATTTAGTGAAATAATCCACCATAACCAGTATGTAGCGATTCCAATTCTTTGTCGTTGTCAATAGTACCATGATATCTATGCTGACTCGCTGATGTGGTCCTGTTGTCACCATCGGCGTCATTGGTGCACGGGGTGTCTGCTGAGGCGATTTAAAACGGCAACACGTGTTACATTTCTTGCAAAATTGCGCTAAATCTTTATGTATAGATGGCCATCAGAAACGTTGACGCACAGCGTGTTCAGTCCTTCCTTCTCCCTCATGACCAAGTTCGCGATGTACCTGTTCCACAATGCTTTCGACTGTTACTCGCGGTACTATCAGTAGGGGTTGTTCCGATTCATTAATTAAGAATAACGTGTCCCCATATAGTTTTAGGTTACTCCATTTGGTGCAAATACGACGCGTTGTTAGGGGTTGATCTTTTAACTCCTTCCAGGATGGCTTATTGTTCCCGTTCAGCTGTCTCCGGTACATGATCTGCAGGTCTGGATCTGCTGCTTGTAGGGAGGGCCAGTCAGTTTCTCGAGCTGCACTAAGAATTACGTTAACGATGTCTGTAGTTTGGGGAATTGGAGAGAGCGCATCCGCATTTGCATGTCGATTTCCCGGTCGATACACACATGTGAAATCAAACTCTTGTAACCGTTCCTGCCAACACGCTACCTGACCTTCTGGTTCACAGAACGAACGAAGCCACTGTAGTGCACGGTAGTCTGTGCGTACACGAAAGGGTCGTCCTAGGAGATAATGACGAAAATGTTGCAAAAATTTTACCGAAGCCAGCATCTCTTGGCGCGTCGTAGAATACCGTCTCTCTCTCTTATCTAGCCGCCGACTAGCATACGCAATTACTTTTTCGTGTCCATCTCGAGTCACTTGTGATAGAACTGCCTCAATAGACGAAGAACTAGCATCCGTGTCCAGTATGAACTCGCCTGCATCTGCTGAAGTATCGGGAAAAGCTAATATAGGTGGAGAGGTTAACCAGGATTTCAAAACATCGAAGGCTTGTTGACACTCAGTGGCCCATGAAAATTTCCGTCCTTTGTGAGTTAATCGATGTAAGGGTGCTGCTAGTGATGCGAAATCGCGTACAAAGCGTCTATAATAAGAAGCTAATCCCAGAAAACTACGAACGTCTTCAGGTGATTTCGGTTGCGGCCAATTAACAATCGCACGTGTCTTTCTTATTTATCTGTTGCTACACCCTCTTCTGTAATGCAATGCCCTAAGAAGAGTACTTCTTTTTGCAATAGTCGATATTTAGATGGTTTGATTTTTAGGTTGTGTTGCTTAATTCGTTGTAGGACTGCCTTTAAACTAGCATTATGCTGTTCCGGCGTTCTGCCATACACAATAATATCATCAAGGTAAATTAGACACTAGTGTGGTACGAGACCGTGCAGAACTGTCTGCATTAGGCGTTGGAAGGTAGCTGGGACATTCGTTAACCCGAACGGCATCACTTGAAATTCGTATAAACCATTGGGTACTGTGAATGCTGTCTTTTTTCTATCTTGGGGTCGAACTTCCACTTGCCAATACCCCGATGCTAAATCTACAGTCGAGAACCGATGAGCGCCCTTCAGGGTGTCCAATGTAGCGTCTATACGTGGAAGTGGGAAGGAGTCCCGTTTGGTTATAGCATTAAGTCGGCGGTAGTCTACGCATAGTCGTAGGGAGGCGTCTTTCTTTTTCACTAAAACGATAGGCGAGGCCCATGGTGATGAAGATGGTACAATGATCTTTTTCTCTAGCATATCCTTTATCACCGATTCTAATTGAGGCTGGTAATGTACTGGTACTCGGCGGGGTGGTTGACGTAACGGCGTGTGATCACCTGTGAGGATGGAGTGCTGTACCGTTGTCGCTCGATTCCCAGAGATATTCCCAGAGAAAACGGAACTAAAGTGTTGGAGCACGTTAGTGGTTGCTCGAAGGTCTTTTTCGCTTATTATTTTATTATCCTGTACCTGACGTATAATTTCGGCAATTTCTACCTGGGCTACGGACCTAACTGGCACTTCATGATGTTGTATGTGTACGAAAACTCCGCCAATACTCGCTTCTGACTTATTCATATGTATAGAGACCTGGTATTTTAGCATTAAGTCGACCCTGAGAATCATATTTCGAGTCAGGGTGGGGCAAACCCAGAATTCATGTTGAAATGGCTTCTTATCTATCATTAGTTCTAACCCTACCTTATAACACGCTTTCAAGGGTTCTCCGCTCGCAGTAATTAATGTGGAAGCGCAACGTTTACACTGAGTGCTATGATTAAGTTTCTGGAAGAAGTCTTCCTTGATCAAAGATACGGAGGCTCTTGTATCTAATAGTATATCAATGTCATTACTCTGTACTCTACCTCTAATAGTAACAGAGCATAAACGCTTAGCACAGCAGGAAGATATATGCAAGTACTGCTTA